AGTATTGTTGCTGGAAATTTTCTTTACTGTCAAGCTACTGAAAATTACCAATCAAATGCAAATCTCTCATAGCATTCTTTACTAATCAAGAATTCTAAGTATACTGTATATAATACTATATAGATGATCCTATTAGTTTGTCCAACATTTTTAAACAATGAAATGAGGTAAAACTGGGACATTCAAAACGTCCCCTAAATAGTGGGGGTGGGGTGGGGAATCTATTGCTTAACACATTGTAAGCCGCCCTGAGTCTCCGGAGGTGGGCGGCATATAAATCAAATTTAAAAAAAAAAATCTACACTATCTCAGATCAGAGGCAAACATATATTTAAATCCTGAGACTTTACAATGGAATTCCCTTTGCCAAGTTGCTATGATATATTGAAAGGGATAGTTCTGCAGATTATTCCAATGGCAATGTTACTTTTCTATCATGTCGTATGTGGATATGGATTACTTCTAGAACAAGTGTAAAAAATGTATGGATAAAAAATACAGTAATTCTGAAAAGGTTTATGGATAACATATAGTTCATGGACTACTGCATTTCATAGTTCAGCATTCCAATAGAGAACCCCAGAACAATTGAAACTTTTATCTGGATTTTTAGCAGTAAAGTTAAGTGACAATTAAGATTCAACAAGAAAGTTTGGGGATTAATACAGGGACTCTAGACTATATGAAGAGAGAGTCTGAATTGTTTGCCAGGAATTCCCTGTTTCAGAATACCACTCCCCACTCCCCACTAGAATTCATCTGTCAGGAAATAGAGTTGGGTCCTTCTGCATCTCAGTTAACTAATTTAAATATCAGTTCAAATGTTACTGCTGAGGACATAAAACTCAATCTACTAAGTGTCTTGCTATGTTTATCTTGCCCCCGTCGGAAGAAAATATCGTGTATTTTACTATGGCATCTCAGTGTTGCTGAAATTGTATAATCAGTAGGACAGCACGTTTAATGAAAGGATTTAACCTTCTCTTGACATGGGAAGGACTTCCTGCAGTGTAAGATTTTTCACTGGAAATAAAATGTGAATTAATTTTTAATGTGAATGATAAATATTTAGTTAGAAAGTTTTGCCTACATAAATATGTATTTTATTTTTAATTCTTTATTTTCAACAACAGCTAATAATAAAATAATTAAAAATAAGCACCTAAAATATGAACAAAAATTAAAAGAATAGAAGAAATAAAAAATAATTACGACTATGGTCCAGATATTGACTAAATCATAAAGTTTAACTGTGTAAAAGGAGATCGATGCATAAGACTCTCCTTAATTGTATCCCATCTACTCTGTTGGTTGCTCTTCATAACATTGAACATGGGCACAATTCTCTACTAGGATCCCAAATAGCCAGGCCCCTAGCAGAGGTGATATTTCCTTCATCTTCAAACTTAAAACAATGACGGTGATTGACTGAATATAACGAAAATTATATTCGTTCAACATATGGCAATATTGGTAGCATTAGACTGAAAGTAAAAAAAAACAAAACACCCCAAATCAACAGACGCAGAATTTCATGCAAGAGATGATTGTTTTTAGAGACATCAAGAACTTTTCCCAAGTAGCCCTGCATTCTGATGTGGAATAAGTCACACCAGTTTAGCATGGGTGAAGATTGCTGTATATTTCTCTATACTTCTGTTTTTCTGTGAACCTGGATTGCACGCTTAGAATTCTTCTGTATGTCACTAAGATGTAAAGAGTTAAATGTGAGAGAATACAATACCCTCAAGACCCTGCTGTTCCACCAGGCCGGGCTATCAATGTAAATGATTTTAAATTGGGTGTTTTAAATTTTTGGGTTTTAATTTGGGCCGAAATTATTTAATAATTTTAATTATTTTTAATTGATGTCTGTATATTTTTGTGTTTTTAATAGGCTGTACACCGCCCTGAGACCTTCGGGAGAAGGGCGGTATAGAAATAAAATAAAATAAAATAAAATAAAATAAAATAAAATAAAATAAAATAATAATAATAATAATAATAATAATAATAATAATTCAAACCAGAATTCAGACAAGGTACAAATGCTTCCTTTCTTGGGGCTAGACTTCATAAGGATCAGATGTACAGCTGCTAGGTCCTCTTGGGTTTGATACTGGTCCTAGAAAGCCACATTATGTTAGTGGCAAGATGGACCTTTTATCAGCACTGGCTGATATAGTAGGAACACTCATTCTGCAAGGATAGAATTTGCAAAGTGCTTTTTTTGAATTGCCATAATAAAATAGTTTTGAAACTCCAATTGCTCCATAATGCAATAATTTGGATGATGAATGGTGCTTGTAGGAAATAAGAAACCAGCTGTACTGGTTAACAATTGCTTCATGAGCTCAAGTCAATGTGCTCAGTATGGTGTATAAAATCTTATATAGCTTGGGCCCAGGTTACTTGAAGAATTGCTAATTCCTATATAGCTTGCACTATACTTTTTGCTAATTCTGTTTTTTCTATTGTGAGAACAATTTGCTATTGTAATTGTTATAGTTCTGGAAGGGGCTTAACATATTTTACTGAGATTTCCTAGGGTTCAAAAGAGTTCTTTAGAATTTTTAAGGCCTTCTTAAATGGGCTATAATGGCTTTTTTACTTTGGCTTTTATATCAGTGTTTGTAAGCTGCCAAGAGCCACAAATGCATTGGGCAGCACATACTTTGTAAAAGAAAAAAGTAAAAATAAAACAGAATATGGTTTGATTATTTGAATTATGAAGCAGGTTCAAAGTAATATTTTATTTTCATTTTGATTAATACATACTTTTCCATGTATTTTGACTTAATTTTATATTTAGCTATTGAAATATATCAATTCAGAATACACCTTTTTATCACAAAATAATATTAAGATTTCATGTTATTTAAACAGGTGGATGTCTAAATGCATTAAAAAATACCAGTCCTCATACATATATTGAAAAGGATGTTTAAATGATTTACAGATTAGAATCATACTTCAGTTGTTTTCTGGAAAGAAGCTACATGCCTAAATAATAGGAATTTCTTGATGGCTTCTTATAACAAAAGAAAAACTATGTTCGAATTCGAAGATAAATTTTCTATTATCATACCTATAAAAGTTGACCTGACAGTCAAATTGACTTTTTGAATAATAGGATAAGTTATATGTTAGGACCAATTATAGGACTCAGCCTGCATAGTAAAATGCATGGAAGAAATGATTCCAATTATTTCTTTCCCCTATATGGTGTCATATTGTTTAGGACAAAAACAGAGAACTTTGAGATGCTTATTGATGGCTATACTGGAAAGGAAAGGGAAGTTTCTTTGATTTCTTTAAATTAACATAGGGTTGGTAATATGCTTCTAAATATCTCCATTAGTGCTTATTTAATTCCCTAATCTATTTAAATGGGCGGTTTAATGTTTCAACTCACCTAATTTCGTATTTTTACGATTATAGCACATCCTTCTTCTGCCCTTTAAATTTCTTCTATTGTCTTTTGAATGTCTTCATTCTTATTCCATGGTCTTTTTTCACATCCTGTACTATATCAACTTAAAAACCAACTTCCATTCCTGTCTCTTTTTTTATTGCTGCCTAGCAATGTTTAAGTCTAAGTTATTTCCGTTATTACTTTTCAGACTGGACATTTAGGTTTATGTCTCTTCTGCTAGTCTTGCAATAGGAACATTATATTGATGCAACCATCTTTTGACAGCTATTGTTACTGTGTTTCCCCCAAAATAAGACCCTGTCTTATATTTTCTTGAACCCCAAAATAAGTGCTTGGCCTTATTTTTGGGGAGGTCTTATTATTTTGGGGCACATGGAGCAAGACAGGGCTCCTCTTGCCGTCTTACCTGATTTCCAGCTCTGTCTCCCTAACCCTAACCAGAGGAAATGGTGGGGACCGGCTGCGCATGCGTTTAAATATTTTCAGGGAGGGCTTATTTTTGGGGAAGGCTTATTTTCAGGGGACAGCTTATTTTAGCACATGTGCTCAAAAGCGCGATTGGGTTTATTATTAGATGCCTTATTTTCAGGGAAACAGGGTAGTTATAAGCCATAGCACTTTTCTGAGGTACACAGAAAAAGATGCTGTTCCGTTCAGAATCTGACTGTATGTTTCCTAGGTGGTGTCTGGCTAGCTATACATGGAAATGATACATGAATCTAATTCATGCTGGATTAAATGGATCTGGGACCCAATCCAGCAGAGTTCTGAATAATCTGAATTGTTTTTCATAAGAACATGCGTAGAATAATTGAGAAAACAGAAGCTGACATTTTCTGAGGAAAGCAACTTTCTCAGAACCAGTCCAAACAATTATAAGCAGCTGCTTAACACACTACAGCAGGGATATCAAACTCAAGGCCCGGGGGGCGGAATTGGCCCGCCGGGGTGCTTAGATCCCCTGGAAACAGTGAATGACTGGCCCACAATGTCTCTACCAGTGAAAACGGAGCTCGGAGGGCCGCCCGTGGCCCTCCTGAGCTCCTTTTTCACTGGCAGAGGGTTGTAGGCGGCTTTTGCAGCCGAAAATGGAGCTCAGGAGCCCGTTTTCGCTAGTAAAGCACTCGGGCTACCACAGAGTCCCCTAACACGAATTATGTTGAGTTGGCCACGCCCACGCCAGCCCCCTGAGGTTAAACACAACCCTGATGCGGACCTCAATGAAATTGAGTTTGACACACCTGTAATTGTTGTTACAGGAAACAACAAACATTGTTTTCATACTTTCTACCTCAGAGTAGTTTGGCACTACATGTCAAAATAACTTAATATTAAGTTAAGCTGTTTTTCTATAGTACACAAATGGGATTGATTGATTTAGCCTGGTTATCAGCTTTGGTTACAGCATTACTCTGGATTTCTTATCAGATAGATCGTGTATTCTGTTTTGGGTGCACAATTCCTCTTCTAATAGTTGCTTTATCAGTTTTATTAATATATATCAAATTTCAATTACACCAACCTGTGCATGCTTCAAAATGATACACATTAAGCTTATACTTACTCAAAAAATGTTGTCCATCCAATTTCATCACTTCTAGTTGCTAGGAGGCCACTGTTGCCATGATATGTAAACAAGACTAGTTCCTGTCCTTGTGCTATCATATTTTTTAAGCAACCGTTGGTTCCTATGGTTAACCAGATGACTTGATTGTCTGGAGATACTACCCTTACTGGCATCCGATTGGGGTCACGCCTAATTCGAAGGGTATTTCCATTGCTGTCAGTAACTGCAGTTATATCATTATCATTACTGTAGCTAAAATTGTAAAGATAGTCTCCTGTGACTAAACTCATTGTGTACTGATGAGTGCCATTGACATCAAAGATATAGAGCTCCTGATCAGTTGGAGAGGCAACTTCATAAAAGTTCATGGAATTCAGCAATGGTTTGTTCTTTGACACAGCTCTTATTCGAATATTTCCAAGATCTGCAATATACAGTGTTCCATCAGGTGATACAGCTAAGGAAGAAGGGGCACTGAGTTTGGCATCTTTAGCATAGCCATCACCATTTTGATAGCAGTCACAGTTAACATCGTTTTTGCAATCACATTCAGAAGGTATTCCAGCAACTAATGAGATTTCTCCATCAGTTGTTACTTGTCTTATTCTGTTTATCTTTTTTTCATCTGTTTCTGTAATGTAAAGCACCCCATTATAAGACAAAGCAATAGCCGTGGCTGATTCTAAGGTAGTTTGTACTGCATGTTTTCCTACTGTATATTCCACTCCAGGAACCTGGCAGTGCATTGGTCTTCCAGCAGCTATACGGACTTGCCGATTTTCTGTAATTTGAAGCACTACGTTGTTATCCAGCACATATATGGAGTTATCCATTGGGTTGATAGCTAAATCTGTTGGCCACTCTAGACGTACCTTATCAAAACAAGAACAATTTATTAACACATTAGTTATCCTGGCTTTAGACAAATAATTTTTTTGAATGAAATTTAAAATAGCCCTAGTTGCTGCTTTTGGAATAGTGTTCTGTTTTCTTTTAATTGCATGGGATTACCGAGAATGGTATTATTCAACAATTTAAATGGCTTAACTTAGGTGAAAATAATTAGACTAAAAATTAAAAACATTACAACTTGATAGAGCCTTGGTAGTACAGTGGTCTAAAGCACCCTGTTATTAAGACCAGCTGCCTGCAATTACTGCAGGTTCGAATCTCGCCAAGGCTCAAGGTTGACTCAGCCTTCCATCCTTTCTAAGGTAGGTAAATTGAGGACCCAGTTGTGGGGGCAATAAGCTGACTTTGTATAAATATACAAAAGAATGAAGGCCATTGCCAGCGCATTGTAAATCTCCGGAGAAGGGCGGCATATAAATCAAATTAAAAAAAAAAAAAATTTAGAGGCTGGACTGCCATTTGTCACAAATGAAAGATTTAAAAAAAATTGTGGGAGCTTCATCACTGGAAGAGACTGGACTGGCATTTGTCAGAAATAGTGTAGGGTCTCCCGCTTGGGTGGGGGTGGGGGGTTGGATGACCTACAAGGTCCCTTCCAACTCTGTTAATCTGTTAAAAGTTAATGGTAGATTTGTTTAAATGTGGTTCTGTGGAAACAAATGGGGTCTTCAGGTCTAACTCCCACACAATATTAAGAGCTTGTCTCCCTACAAACCTAGCAATGCAAAGAAAAATTCTAGAGAAACTACTGAAAAAAGGCAATATTTAAAATTATATTGATTTGTGAGCCTTTTATTAAAACATTAGTTTAGCAAAATCTCTTAGAAAGTTGCAAAATCTATACCATCACAATCATAGTTCTGATTAGGAGGTACAGCCTCTGAGTCATGCTCAGACAAGAATAGGTTTTGATAAACATGCTGATTTATGAAGTTTGATAGTCTTTCCTGATTTTTGTCACGTGTTAAATTGCTTTCGGGTATACAGTTCTGATTTTTACATTAGCTTTTGACCCACAGCAGCACAGCAAAGAAGCAGCAAGCAAGCAAGCAAATAAATAAGTAAAGAAATGTTTGTAGCACACTAAAATAATGATTAAATGTTTGTACTAAATGTATCTGAGTCTTGTAGTTTTCTAATAGATCTGTTAATACATGTGCAATAATTGTTACAATCCACCTTGAAGGTTTTTTGTTTTTTCTCAATTGTTTCTAAAATGATATTATAAAGTGTATAAAATCTTTGTTTTTATAATTGCTTCACTTTGATGATTTACATTTTGTAGAATTAAATAATAAATAACTTAACTGAAGGTTGTTCCCAGAGGCACTAAATTCAACACAATGCTCTTGTATAAGACAGTAAATTTTATTTTAAGGAGTGATCAAATTTGAAATAACTATCACTATCTTAACACAAATTTATTGCTGAGTTTTTTAATTGTCTAGAATTCACAGACAGAAAGCATAAATAAATGCAAGAAAATTCCATAATATAAAAATCTAAAAAAATTCCTTCTTTCTTTGTCTCCTGCCAGGAGTTTTATTTGCTGGAAAGACATTTGAATGAATAGATTAGACCTGGATGAATGAATGAACAATCTATTCATTTAGACCTGTACTTATTTTTTCATTAGTAGATTGACAAAGAAGATGCTGATGTTATTATTGTGTGAACTATACAGGCTGTTTCAAGGGAAAATGACTTCAAAAGAAAAAAGATCTTTGTTAAAAGTACCTGGCTGATATGCATGCTGGTATCACATGTTAATGGTCGCGCGGAAGTCAGATCATTTGAACCAAGTAATGTTGATATTATTCCATTTTGGTCCACTTTCCTGATCATAGTCCCATCAACAAAATAGATTAATCCATTCTTATCTACTGCCACTCCTTCAGTAAAACAAACAAACAAACAAGCATATACGATATGATTTTCTTTCAAATTATAACCATCAACATTTTTCCTCTTCTATTTATACACTGTTTTTTATGTCTTTTCATTAAACACCAAGAATGATTCTAAAGATTTAACAGAACTGGATTCTAGTATGCTGGCATATCATGTATGAAAATAAAATATTGCTTGTTGCAGTTTGTTAAGCATTGTGTCTAATTATTGAGCCCTTCATGGTACCCTGGATACAAAGTCTTTATGGCATGCATAGATGACCAAAGATGGACAAATGATGACATATGCATAATGATGCAATCATGCAATTGACATGATTTACGTACTTGCAACTCGTGTTATGATGCAAGCATGTAATTATGGTTTTTGCATGATTATGGCATCATATACATGCCATCTTTTAGGTATCATTCCAGGTTTCCATGGACATCCTTGATAGAAGGTAAAAAATATTCATAATGCATGATAATGAAAGACAAATTATTAATGATAGGAAATCAAAGACTTCATTTTTGCAACTTTACTTTTAGAAGGTTCTTCCATTCAGAAAACTACATATAAGTACAGGATTGAATAAACAACTAGACAGTGTTAAATGTTATAGTGAGTGCTGACTAATATTGCGTATTTTTCTCTTCATAAATTTTCAATTTCCTCCACCTTTCGGACTCATCAGAGTAGCTTCTACAGCCTTGCCACCATCGCCACATCGTGCTTCATCAAATGGAAGGCACTGTTCTCCAGTCCCTGCTACTACATCAGCATTTTTTGTCAGATCTTTTGCTCCTGTAAGTGATTTTGGACGATAAATCCGTCTTGTATTTGTATCAGAAACATACAATTCTCCTGTGACTGGATCGGTTGCAAGATAATATCTATGAGCGGGATTACTGCTGCAAAAAGGAAAACAAGTTTTTTTTAGTTTGATTATAATCCCATGTCACTATTTTTGTTTGTCTAATTCAATGGTTCTTGAACATTTAGTATCCCTTTACATTATAAAAAATAATAGAAGACTCCAAAAAGTTTACATGGGCTATATCTATTGATATTTACTATATTAGAAATTAAAGAAATTTTAAAATAATTAACTTGGCAAAGACTATACTTTGAGAACAATTGGTATAGTTGCATAGGCACAGACTGTCATTTGTCTTAAAATTTGAATCGAATTAATTCTTTTGTGATCTTTTTCTTTTAATACTATAATTGTATATAATTCTAAGATATCTCTAACATATTTGAAATGTTAGTTTCAAATAATCATATCTGGATTTCTTCACTTAGATCGCTCCTTTGTTCTCAACATTTTCTCATAAATCTAAGCCATTTGAATATATGATCCATATTACTGATAAATAATATATTGTGTTTTCTTCTGATCAAAAAGCACCTTCTTATCACTGAGCATAGTTTCATATATTAGACATATTTGTGAGTAAATCCAGCTTTTTTCAAAATATCACAGCATTTTAAAAACCACTAAATATGCCACCATATTTTCCTATGAAATAAAAGAATATACAGTTTTGGAGCTTTTCTTCAAAGCTCAATAAATTTTGGAGAAAAAGTTTTCTTTCCTAATGAGTAAATAACTTTATTGAATATATCTGCTGCTCAAAGATACAATCCAAAAGCTTAACTAGCTGCATCAATAACAATAGATCTAAGTTATGACATAAAAGAATGAATATATAGCTGATAATATTAGACTGCCTACTAATGCACAAAGCCCTAGTATCCGTCAGATCAATTTCTAATTTATTTGCAAATGTGCTACTAACATGTATCCAATAGATTTGGTGATATCAGAGCATCTGTTCACAAAAAATACTGCTTAGTATTTCATAAATATAAATGTAACAGTGTTACAATAACACATTGCATGTAATCTTGTTGGCAAAGAGTGTCAGGGGTTAACATAAACAAGTTGTGACTAAATTATGGTTTGAAGTAGGGACAGGTTTTGAATAATTAATATGTCATTTTAATAGACACAGAAATCTGGATGGAAAATATAATCAGTTTAAGTTTTGGTAAAATGTGATTAATGCAGCAGGGCAATTGAACAATAAAAGCCTAAACTGGAGGCATTCTAACTATCTTTAAATTGTGAACAGGTTTTGGCAAAGCATTGAAGGTTCTGACAGCTTGTTCTGATTTTTATTTTAAGAAATGGTATGTCTGGATTTGATCAGAAACCTCTTAACTGGAAAATATATTTTTGAAAATTATTTAAGATAAAATAATGATGGTTACAGTAAATATAACGGATCAAATATATGTCTTTTCATCTATAACTTTTCACTAATGTGCTTAGACTTTGTCTAAAGAAAAGCTTTTGTCAGATATAAAATTCAGCTCTGGATAATAATTTTACAGTTTAGTTGGACAAATTTAAACTAACTAAATTTAAATCAAAGAATATTTAACTTGCACAAAATAGTGGAATTTGACTTAGTTTTACTACATTAGAAAAACACTGAAAAAGAAAGTGAACATATACTAACCCAAATACTATTATTTTTAAGATGAGAGACAACAACTCAAGAAATATATATTTTAATGGAAGCTACCTTTTGTAGCATTTTATGGTTGGAGAAATGGGAAACTCATGTATAATCATTAAAGCACGTCATAAAGAAAGTGGAATTTGAACTATTTTAATTCTGACTTTTTTAAAAAAATTATAAACAGAAAAGTAGATTCTCTCTAATATTTTCTGCACCGAAGACAAATGCCTTGTGTGTCTAATCACACTTGGACAAATGAAGTATTCTGTTCTGTTCTTCTTCCTGTTCCCAATTCCATTTCATTCCAATGTTAAGAGCTTCAGACACATTTGAGATGCTGAAGATTAAATTTTGTATATCAGATTTTCCATCACAGTGCTAAAACATTCTCTGACCTATTCTGTTGAAAACCAGACATGTTTGTACACATGTATACAATGCTCAACTATCTATCTGGATTACTGCAAGACTTGATGCCCAGCAATCAAATGTGTAAATGAATTCCATCTAAAAAGGCAGCATGGCAGCCTCTGTCAATGGAATTGAGGATGCCCAAAAGACAATGAGGTGGATGATTGGTGTAGCAGAATGAAGATACAAATCATTGAAATAAAACATAGCCAATACCTTAAAAACAGATAAGAAATATATAAAGATAATGAAGCACTGTTTTATCTGTTTTAAACATTACATTTATCTAAAGAGTCATACTTTAAAATGTAACAAGTTAAACTGGGATGTGAAAGTAATTTGATTAATAATGAACAGTAGCAAGTTTTCACCTTATACTTACTAAGATTTATCTCAGAATAGTTTTACTATTATTTTATTCAAATAATGATTGAAGCAGTTTTTGTAGTACCTTATTTACTCATTTAAAGCCAATAATAGCCTCAACAAAATGTATGAACATGCTTAAAATGCTTACCTATGTCTAAAATCTTTATTTCTTGGTGGGTAGGCAAAAGAAGAAAGAGCAAAAAGAACAGTATTAGAAGGAAAAAGTTAAAGGAACGAAAAAATTGGTAAGGTTGCTAGTAAGACTTTAGCCTTTATTTTATGTATTAATTTATTAGTTATATTGATACCCTGCCTTTTTTTCTGGGAGCTCCAGGTGGCATACACAATGCTGCATCCTCCAATTTTTTCCCACAACAACCAACCTGTATAATCATTTGGGCTGAGAGAGAAACACCCAGTGAATTTTTATGGCTGAAAAAAGACTCCAATTTAGCATCCCCAGTAGTAGTCAAACACTAGCCATGATATATAGCAGTTCCATTGGCATGGCCACCTGAATGGTTATGCTATATTAAATGGTTTTCTAGCTGTGTGTATTTTTATATTCTGATGGATTAAGAGACACCATGAATCATCACAACCGCATTCTAAAAATTAGGTATTTAAAATTAGGGGAAAATATACCTTAGTTCAAGTACACTTGTTACATTTCCAGATGGGAATATCCGTCGAACATAGTTGAAATCTCCTACATACAGACTTCCATCAATTCCACAAGCTAGGGCAACTGGAGCCAAGAGTTTATTGCCATCTGCTTGACCATTGCAACTTGGGCAAGAAATGCTGCGCCGTCGGCCATTACCCATTATACTACTGACAACTGGTGGTTGCTGAGAGATAAACTGATTTTCCCCATTGCCTTTATATAGGATTCCTTTAAAAAAAAAACCAGAAACATGACCCCTCTTGTCTCTGTAATAACTTTTAATAACCAGATACATTTTAAATAAAGTAAACTTTAAAATTCACAGTGTGATTGCATTTCATGGATGCTAATATATGAATAGTGTATCTGAGCACATCACAATGAAATTCAGCAAGTTTGTTCATTAAGCATTGTCAGCACATACCAAGAAACAATCTTTTAGAATCCCATTGGCATTGTCCTTTCAATTCCAATTGTAACTTTATTTAACAATGTATAGCTAGATATCCTGTCTTCAACCATTCATATTTACAGCTAATTCAATAATAAGAAAAACAAGGATCTTCATAAATCCATAATGAATCCCTCCTACATTATTTTCTATCTAGGCTTGTAATGTTACATATAATAAGCCAAATATGTGGAAGCAGAAAAACAAATGTAAACAGCTGCTGTACAGCTGGTTCCCAAGAACAAGAGCTATGTACGTGTAACCCCAGTTAGCAATACTCTTCTCTTTCTGGACAGAATCCACATCTATGTTTGTCTTCTTTTGTTCCAGATAGCTGGTATGTTGACCGTGTCTCTGCATAAACTGCTTCTCAGTCTGCTATATGAAAGAGGACTGAAGAATTCATTTGCATGCAGATTTTCTCTTTTAGTTTCGGCTGAATGTTGGATTGGAGCAATGTTTTCACATTCTTTCTTTTCTTGGAATAAACTACAAACATATGTGCTGTTACGAATCAAAATCTTGTATTAGTACGTTATTACTGTAGAGCAGTTTTCTGACAGCCTCAATTTCACATTGCAAAATGGTTTTATAATAATTTACTTTGGGTTACAGAGCCTGGTTTTATAATGTGTTTGCAGTTAGGTTCTCATATGTCAAACACAACAAAAATGCTTTTGCAGGCCACCTGCCCTTTAAACCGAGTTCTGCTCAAAGGCATCAACAATCATTGGAAAAAGACAAAGTATCTTGCCAGCATCATTTTTTATGACCTTCACAGGAAATGTGGGGAAGGAAGATATGTACCTAATGTACACTTTCACAATTAATGCTGTTTGTTGGACAGACTTCTTTCCTCATTATTATCAAGATTAATGAGTCAATCTAAGTCTGCTGCAAGAACAGTGAGCTATTATTGTAACATTTGTTTCATTATAAATCTCAATCTAATTTAAATCATGCAATGTACATGTCACTTTGTACTGTATAATAATACTGGTTTCACTTCAATTTAAAATGGAAATTCATGATCATTATTATACTTTACGATTACCAGTAAAATATATTTATGAAGTTTCACAATCCAAGCTACTTTATTTTATTAAGTAAATATTTTATATACTATTGAACATATCTATCTATCTATCTATCTATCTATCTATCTATCTATCTATCTATCATCTATCTATCTTCCACCCATCCACCCCCTCCCTCCCCATCTACCAGAAGACTATACAGAAGACTGCATCATTATTCTATATGGAATTCAGATCCTCATAAGCACTTAGGAAAAAAGTACACTACTGGAATCTGAACCCCTACTTCTATGATTACATCCTTTATGACAATCGGGAAACCTGCAATGTCACTTCAATACATGAGTTCTATAAATTTCCTAGAGGTTAGTACTATACCATCTGATTTACACATTTCCTCATTACACTGAAAAATTGTTCCTTCACATCTCTCTTTTAATATAAACAAGGAAAGATGAACATTAGACTATTGCAGTCATTCAAGATATCCATATAAAAACCTGCCACAGTATTTGCTCTAAGCCAATACACTTTTCCAGCTCATTCATCCTAGTCACTTCATTTATTCAATTACACTTGCAAAAGTCATTATTTGCCAACTGCTTCCTAAGCACATCTCTAAGCACTGAAGTTGATTTACAGAGTATACGCAACAGAATAATAATTAAATACATATACTTAAAAACATGATTGCATGAACATATATATACTTAAAAAAATATAATTGCATGAATAAGTTCTTGGACATCAATTTCTTTTGCCTTACATGAGTTACCACATTGACTGGATGCATTGGCATCCTTCAGTCTCAAAAGACTATGCTATCGTGCTCTGGAAAGAGGTCCTAAAACAGCATCTAGTGTGACTAAAAAGGCCAATTCGAGAGTGGCAATCCCTTCTACACTGAGGATTGGATAGCTTCTTTGTTTTATATTGTTTCATGGTTAACGGCCCATTTAAAAGGGGTAGGATACTATCTCTCGGGAAAGGGCCAATATTTTACTTATTTCCCTATTAAATCAGCATATTTCTATTTGATTATTTGCCATCAAGCAGGTGTCTAGTTTTATTGCTCATAGAGATATTTTCTTAAGGAGGAGATATTCCTTTACCAAACTCTTATGATTTATTTCACTTTCTCTCTAGCTCTCTCTCATACACACACACAGTTTGTTTGTATACATTGCATAGAGTATGTTTGGAGAGACATAATCAGATAAAAGAGTGAAAGTGTACTGCTATATTGCATGGAAATTAATTGATTTGAAGAGGCAGAAAAGAGCAATATAGTATTTTCATATGTACTACAAAAAAGGAAACATTGTCATGGTGTTTATGTGGGTTAAAGAATGCTTGGAAATTGGAATTTTAAAATAAAAGAGAACTATAATTTTTGAATTTATGCTTTGTGTTTCAGAGTAATGGATTAATCACATTATTGGAAAAAACACAGCATTCTCCAAGAGAAAGCCTATAAACTTTTTTTTTAAAGGTACAATTATGTTCAGACTTGGAATCTGAGGTTTTCAGTTTAAGATGTACTACGTAACATTATAAGATTAATAATACTCACCATTTTGAACATCTAATACATGGTGTTTGTCCAGTGTCCATCCACCCATGTTGGAGGCATCCAGTTCATAACCTTGTAGAATGGCTGTCCGTTTTTCCCACAGTGTTAGATCCAAACAAGATTCATATTCATAACCAACAGATACTGAAATAAATAATAAAATTATTATTTTACTATAAACTAATGCAATGCAATGCAATATAGTCATGATTAATTTATTTTCATTTACAGTATTAATATAGAGTGACTATGAAAGGCTTTAACTATTTTATCTGATTAATTTTAATGTTTAAATTTGACAGTTAAAGCACTAATAATATAATATAAAAAACTATAAATCCAAACAGAAACTGGCAATGTGGTACCCACAAATTCTGAAATTAAAGATTTTGAAATTAAATTCAAAAAATTAAATGATTTCTTTTAAAATATGACATGAAGACTGGCATTTGAAAAGGTCACTGATCCTTGATTCAGAATCCAATCAAGAAATAACAGTTAATCATTCACAGATACATCAACAGTTAATCATTCACAATTACTATTCTCATTAATCAAATTCAATAAAAAGTATAACAAAAAGATTATATGAAAACCAATATATTTTGTATGGCAAAAGGTATTGCGGAATATAATATTTATCCATTTGCTATATTCCACCTTTCCTCCATGAACTCAAGGTAGCATATCCTCTGCTATTTTCCCACCATTTTATGAGTTACCGGTAGGTTGTATTGTGAGCATCTAGTTTCCATGGCTAAAGTTGGATTTGAACCTACACATGATAAAACAGATCCTAAAAATTCTGACCAAAGTAATTGTATTTGAAACTATCAAACATTTAGTTGGTTTTCTTGTCATTCTATAACTGTCAGTCCTCTGAAAATTGTGTCAATATTAATTGGTACAGTGAATTATGTAGTTTTAAAAATTGTCTATTCCATCCACTGATTTGGTCTACCAAGAGGGGTAGCTATGATCATATAAATTTTATTTAGGAAATAGAGAAGTTGAATACATCCAATATGGATGCACATTTCTACTGTTTGTCATCTCCTGTGTCTTACTTCAGAAAGACCTCAACATAATTTTATGCTAGAATAACTTTAAATAAAACTTTTTTCACATCCATTATATGTGTGGAATAATTGTGTGCTACGTTAATTAAAATGATGGATTAGGACTAGAAGGATCCAGCTGTGGATATTCATAGGACATTTTGGAGTTTCACAATTGCTTAGCCCAACCTATCACACTATCATTATTATAAGAACACTGGAGAAGGAAGCATTATATAGTCTACTGTCAGTTCTTGGAGGGAAGGAATAGTATAAATAGAATGAATAAATAAATATGTAAATAACTGTTTATTTGCATATTCAGACATCTTGGGTTTGCTTATTTTCAGGTCTGGACATTTAATTAGCAATTTTTTTTTCAGTATCTGAAGATTTAATTAATGTACTGAATAATTAAAACTAGAAGGTCTTGTATATTGATATACTGATGTTCCCTTGAAATAAGTTTATGGCTCCATGTGTTGTGAAGTATCAGATGCTGAATAGCAAATTTCAGGCAATTTTGAAAACACCATGGCCGCATAAGGCTTTTTCTGCAAAAACAAATGTATGTTTCTTCATGTAAGTTAGCATTAGAAATGATCCATTCAATGCAGTTATTTATGTTACTTTCCCCAATGTAAAAACAACAGTTTATCATAATCAATACAATAGTTACAAAATTAATATGATTATTCCTTTCATATTTCTGTATTTATACGTAAAAATTACATTTGATTTGTATAACTGACTGCAATACTGTATTTAACTTACAGCATAATTTTGTTTTTTTTCTATAGAATGTATCCACCATGAATTATACTATTAAATATAATTTTTGCTACATAATATTAGCGTATTCAAAAGAACCTGATAACAAACAAAACCTACCAACAGCTTCAGATAAACCATAGACCTTTTGATTATATGCATCAGTTTTATCCCATATAAATGTATAAGCCAAATTTGGGGATGCAGGGAACCATTTTTGGAAAAGTCTTCCTACTACTGCCACCATGAGATGAACTTTCATTAAATTAAATGGTATCACAGACTGTGTCATTGTGATCTTAAGTACAGATTTATACCCCGCCGCTCGGGAGCTTAAGTATGACAATTTCAGATCAGTTCCTGGAATTGCAGTTTCTTCATGGAGCACCTAAAATATATTAAAAAAATTGACAAATTAACCCAAGTTTGCTATTTGTTTAGTGCACATAATTGGATAATTACTATAGCTGTAAACATAATTTTGTAGTAATCATTTAAGAATAGTAATATACAATTCAGTTTTATATGATGTACTATCCAGTTTTACTGGAATTTTGAAATACAATTTAATAGTTTTATCAATATGTACAAGTGCAAATACTTTTAGAAAAATATTCTCTATGGAACCATAGCAAATATACCAGTATTGAAAATAACTCATATTATACAAATGTTGATGAAATTTGAGACAGCATTCAATTAGATTTAAAACTTTTTCTTTTAAATTAATCTGGACTGAAAGTTTACAGAAAATTTAACTTACCTGTTTGACATAGTATGTCTTCAATAATATTCTCAATTAATGATGATTAATCAACATGAAATTTAAAGTAACATTTGTCTAGATTATATGATCAATATCACAACAACCTAAATCTTATACTACCGTACTATCGGAAGAAGATTTTGCCGGCATAATTTCCAATTATTTTTGCCAGAAAAGAACACACAACCTTGATAACATGATTTCATATAAATTTTCTTGTATCCATTGAAGTAGACCATTACTTCAGCAGTATCTATCATTCTGAGCTATGGTTTTTGGTACATTTCCAGGAACCCTAGAAACCAAGCCCAACTCAATGATTGTTTTTCCTGTTTCTAATGCATGTTTTGTGTGTGTGTGTGTGTGTGTGTTTGTGCAGATGCATACACGCTTTCCAGTCAGTTTTGACTCCTGATGATTTTTTGGACAAGTTTACCCAATTTTCTTGGTTAACCATTATCTTCTTCCTAGAGTAGATAGACAATGATTGGTCTAAAGCTATCCAACTGGCACCATGCCTAAGAAATAACTAGAGCTCACAGTTTCGTGGTGTTTAGCTTAATGCCTTTAACTGCTACATCAAACTGGCCTTTAGCTTTACTTTTATCTACATCTAATAAATATGGTATATTATATATTGCTGATATATTGGTTTTATCCTTTAAATATCTTTGTGAATTCCTGGATTCTTGGACTTACTTTGGCTATGATTTTGGAGGGGCTGATGATGTAGCTGTAGTGGCATCTGTGATTTATACTTTTAATGATGGACTGTCCTCTTTGCACTCATGTTATCTATTGTCAGTATGACTTCTGGTGTTTTCAGAATAATTGCTTGTTGCTTCGATCAAGTCAGTATGTATATAGATATGAATTTAGTAATACATAGAGTAGGAAAAGTTTTACAATCCTCATTTGTCTGATTGTATGTCATTTTGTATTTTTTTTGTAAAAAAAATCAAATGCTCATTGTAAAATAAATAAAGAAGAGTACTACAATTGTCAGCCCTCCCACGTAAACCAGACGAGCTAATTCTTCTTTATTGTATGGCTACATTAATAGAATTGCAAATCTGAAAGTACAAATCTCTCATTATCACTTTCAACAACCTGATCAATTATGGTGAGTCCTTCCTAGTTTTCTTTTTCTGACTGTTAAGCACTTGCAGTTTCCTCTTACTAATGTATGATCATTCCCTATGAAGCATGTCTTCCCTTTATCTTTCAAGGTTATTCCCACATTACAACAATAAATTAAAGCAAGATTAAGCATAAAGAGGTAAAAAGCTTAAAAGACAAGTATTTATTTATAGAAATGTAATCTTTTTTTAAAAAAAATATGGAATTTAACATGTAATTCTTAAAAAAAATATAAAGTAAGGCAAGATTCCTTCACATAAGAGGTTTTTCTATTAATACCAGTGAAAATGTGTATTGTACGTGAAGCTTCGTAAAAAAGAAACTACCTTATTTTAAAGTACAAATACAACATCTTTAATTTTGTAACTTCTAAATTCCCATAGAATTTAGTTCCAAATGTTACAATTATATTTTATATGGTTGTTACTAACATAAAAATGTTTAAAATATTGCTTAGGGAAATTGACTTATGTATTTTGATCAATATTCATTGATATCAAAAACGTTTTAAACCTTTTAAAACACTTTCTTTTCATAAAAAGGTCATGCAAACAACAAGGCAAGCAGTAAACTGCTTTTTTCAAATCAACTCCAATTCAGTTGAAAAAAAAACATTAGAAATTAGAAGTTTAAATTTCAGCTTTAAAGCTATCAGGATTCCTCATTAAGATGAATTTTTCCTAAAAAGAGAACTGTAAGTCTCAAATCCAGTCGGGTAGCTTCTGAAACAAAATAAATACTATACTTTTCAGAGTTGCAAGAATTTTTTTATAGCAACTGGGATATAGCTTTGTTAGGCCCACATATTATTAATTATTAAACACCAGAATTTTTTTTTCCAAAAAATTCTGGATTTAGACTGAACATTGGTATCATCAAAGTAAAAGGAAATATCTGCTTTGAGGGTGGAAAGCATATGCAATCCCTTTGGAGGAAATGTGCTATATAAATATTACTATACTACTCAGATCCATTCTTCAAATCCATATATGCTTTGGGGTACATGGCTCCTGTTAATGGAATACTGTCACCTTCCACAACAAGAAATCCAATATAAGATTGATGAACAAATGGAGAATCTTCCCTTTTGAATGAGATCAAACATGGAGTCAAGAGCATTTTCAGGGCCCATTTGAAATCTGATTCCACAACAGTGGGTGCAGTAAAACTGCTTATTTCTCTGCCTCCACCTAATCTTTAGAGAACTGTGGCTCTTTCCAATTGATGATGATAGGAGAGATGGTGACTGCAAAGCCTGTGGTTTATAGGTTGCCTCAGAACTTTATTTTATTTATATATAAAATGCAGAAGCTGTCCAACTCCAAAGTGACTCTAAGGGCTTATATGAAAACATTAGAAAAAATAAAAGGAACTAGTAGAAAGAAGATGTGGTGCTTCTAGACAAGCACATTCTGTCAAATTGAAAACATAACTGACAGGCTCCACAAATATCCTACCCTGAGGTCTGGGAGAACAACCATAATTTCAAAGCCTTCTGGAATGTCATCACAGTAAGAAACACACAGATCTCAGATTCTATTCCAGAGGGTAGGGACTGTAATAGAGAAGGGAGGCTTCCAGGGTTGATGCTCTCATATCTCTTGTTTAACTTTTACATGAAGACAACTTCACTGGGTGAAGTTATCCCTCAACACAGGCTTAGGCAGTATTTTCATGATAATCAGCATTGTATCTTTACCCCAAGTGATGCTCTGGAGGTCTTGTCTCATTAGAAAAGTACAGTTATCATAACAAAGGGCAGCTCCTGATTACAGTGCTTGATGTATCTTGTATTTTAATGCCAGATATGTATCTTGTCTCCACTGCTATTGTATTGCTGCAATAGAATATTCTATTGCTACAATTTATTGCTACAATATTCCACCATAAGAAAACTTTTCATAAATAGGTATGGAATTGAATTTAGCCAAGGAGAGTTCATCACCAACCTCATGTATACAGATGTCATTACAATACCCTTGAGCATGGCCTCATCTCCATAAAGGCTATATAACAAAGAACAAATTGAAATTAAATCCAGGCTAGATGGAAATACTGTTGGGAAAAAGAAACAAGAGACTTTGGAATTACGGTAAGGTGAAGCTGATCTTGGTAGGGTCAATATTCCTCCTGGTCTACTGCTTTGAAATTCTTCTGGGACAAGGACTGTATCCATAATTACAACTAGGTCTTACGCATGAACATATGCAACATGTATTGATTACTGCATTGCAATGCACTTTATATGAGAAATGCTGAAAGATTACAATGAGGTGGCTCATTAATATCAGGAACAGAAATCAAATGTTTCCTGAAAATAAAGATCTATACTGGTTACCAGTTATTCATCAAGCACTATATATGGTGCTAGTGCTTAGGCCTGATTATCTGTGGAACTGATCCACCATATGAATTTTCTCTGTAACTTAGAGGAGAAACACTGTTGAAGATGTCCTTGCAGCCAAACATTTGGCATGGAAAAGGACCTATTCTTGTGTGGCTGCCAGTCTATGGAATATGCTCTGAAGGAGGTCTAGCTGACCCTCTCCTACTATTAAGGAAAATGCCAAAAGTATCTCTTTATTTAAATGGTTGATTTTAATATTGTTTTTTGTAATTACCTTTATTAATTTTATTAAGATTTACATTTTATGTTTCTATTGTAGTAGGCCACCATGAGTACTGGAATAAACAAAAAGGGAAGGTATAAATTTAATAGTAAATAAATTCGTCTCACTACTCTGAATCTGCTGATATGAGGAAAAAGGTACAAAATTTATTTTGAAAAAAAAAATAGATAACAGAAATCAGTATATTCTTTCATATTTATAATGGTCAGAAGCCCAAAAGCATTTGAAGAGTGCTGAATACCTTGAGGAAATATTAATGAGCTGATGGACATGAAGAATTGTCTTTTCTTCCCTCCCTATTATTTGATTTGTGAAATTAATGTATTTTAAGGCAAAATATTCTTTTTTACTTAGTTAACCAAGAATGGAAAGAAATTCACAAAATGAATTTTATTTACAAATCTCTGAATAGCTTCCCAAAGGGTCACAAGAAAATGGGAAATTGTAGGCTATCAGTGCAAATATCTGAATTACTGGTAATTTAATTTTTTCCCCTTAAAAATTTATTCAAGTATTATTAACAAACATGAAAATATAGATTTGAAACAAGCAAATGACAAATGTAGTTTTCCTGTCATATCATTCAAACCAATCAACCTATGAAGGAACCTATGATGTATTCCTGTACCTAAATACATTATATATAATACTGTCTTTACCAACTAGTTATACTGCTGCACTGATAGGATATAGTGAAAAACCATGCAAGGAAAAAAACAATTCACACATCTTTTCATAAAGTCTTCATCATAACTGCTTTTCCCTTACACAATATACCAATCAGAGAAGTTGGATCTAAGGTAGATCCACTTAAATCATTTGAAACAAAAAGGTCATGGCTAATGTTTCTCTTTTTCAGTGAGATTGCTTTAAGCACAACTAGGCATGGTTCCAACTTATGGATACAGTAATTCCTTCTTAATACTTAAAACGATAATTGTTACATGATTTTATGTACTACCTTTTCCATAGAAAAATATGTGACATGAATTCAGAATTAACCTGCTAAAGAAAGAAAATGAACGTAAGAAATAAGTTGGAGACGAAACTCTATATGAGTAGTCCTCAACTTATGACCCCAATTGAGCCCAAAATTTGTTAAGTGAGACATTTGTTAAATGAGTTTTGCTCCATTTTATGACTTTTCTTGCCACAGTTGTAAGTGAATCACTTGATAAGTCAGTGACCCAGTTGTTAAGTGAATCGGGATTTTCCATTGACTTTGCTTGTTAGAAGGTTGCAAAAGATGATCACATGACCATAGGACACAGCAACGGTCATAAATATGAACCAGTTGCCAAGCATCTGAATTTTGATCATATGATCACAGGGATGATGCAAAGGTTGTAATTGTGAAAAACAGTCGTAAGTCACATTTTTTCAGTGCCATTGTAACTTTGAATACTCACTGAACTAACTGTTGTAAATCGAGGACTACTTGTATAACATTGTATGCACAATTAAGAAAATACAAGTAAAAGTAGTCCTCGACTTATAACCCATTCATTTAGCAACTGCTCAAATTTATAATGGCACTGAAAAAAGTCTAATAATCGATCAGACAGCCTTATAATCATCACAGTACCCCCACAATCATGTGATCAGAATTGTTGACTGGCATCTATTCACAACCATTGCAGCATCCTGGGGTCATGTGATTGTCATTTGTGACCTTCCCAGCCAGCTCCCGACAAGCAAAGTCAATGGGAAACTGGATTCGTTGAATGGCTGCCTGATTTGGTTAACAACTGCAGTGATTCACTTAACTGTGGCCCAAAAAGACATAAAATCAGGTGCAAACCACTTAAAAATTGCCTTGCTTTGCAATGGACATTGTGGTCTCACAAGGACTACTTGTAAAAGATTCTGAGAGAAGTCTAATCATGATGGGATGCAGTTAGAAAATAGTTTAATATAATTGATGAAATGACTTCCAGGTAATGTTGTATGAGACAATTACTGCTTATTGAGGAAGATGGGTGGTTCAGAAATGTGAAAAATAAATAAAATGTGCTGATATTTTATTAACCAACTTCTAGAGAACAGATCTGAAACTGAATTTGGCAACAGATTAATTCTGTTATGGCATTATCTGGAAGTTACTTCACCATAAACAGCTTTTAAAACCTATACTATAAATTTAATATATTCTTTTCAGGAACCTAACTAAGCAGTTAAAAGAAAACTTTCTAAAATAATTTGTATTGAAGAAAAAAATTCACTCATTAGTTACTGGCATAGTTTTTGCATTACTAAAAGCTACTGTTTTATCTTTGGAAAGAGTGGAAATAACACTTGAGCCAAACAACTGAAAGGATTACAAGCAAGTTGCTTAAGATCTACAGACCACACAGAGATACAACATGGGCTCTAACTATACCATGGGTAATTGTTTAATCATTGTTTTTAAATCTCACCAGACATTATTTTTTCATGTGCTGCCATTTTAGTTTTGAGAGCTCTTTTTTTAAAAAAATGAAGATACTGATAGACTGGATAGTGATAAAGAAGCTTTTAACAGCCTATTGTCATAAATTTTCCCTAAATTTTAACACATTTTCACAAGCATATGTTTAAAATGTTGGTTTGTCTCTACAATGAACACTATGGAAATAATGAGGCAAGGATTTACATTCCAAAGCAAGAACTAAGGCAGAATGTAGACAGAATGTGGGTGATTCACTTATCTTTGTGTTTATGTATAGGTAAGAAAGGGTTCAAAAGCATTTTTTTTGAATATGTGTACATAGATGTGAAATGAATATCAAGTTATAAAACGTGCAAATGTGAATAGGTAAGTAGAGGGATATTAAATGGTGCTGAATACATAAATGTATCCTATTTAATAAAAAACCCCATAAACAAACAGCTTTTTTTTTAGTGAAAAAGCTGTTTGCCAGAAAACCAAGAATGAAAACTTTTCCACATCTGGGGACTCTCAATTAACCTCATCCATATTCTTCAATATTTCAAAAAATGATGTGGAGGTATACCAATAAGTATACTTACTCAAATTAGTCTTTCTTATAGGCAGATATTCTAGGAATAACATAGAAGAGTAAAAAAAGACATTTACATTAATTCATTCTTCTCCTGCAGCTTATTGGATGTTTGACAAGCAAAATGTGAGGTTTGTTTTAGGCAAATTAACTATTAGGTATCACATAATTGTTTGGTTAGAAAATGGTAAGACAAAGTGTCAGGAAACAGAAGTCAAATGGAATCACATAACTCTAAAATGAAACTAATGAGACTTGAAGGGATCAGAATGAACTATAGAAAGGTTAAGACATTAACTGAGTATTGATAAATACTTAGGAGTTGATAAAGTTGAAACTTTTTAACCAGCACGCTGATAAGACCAATACAAATTATGTATTATTGTTTTTATTGTTATTTTAATGACTTAAAATATATATTTCAACTATTTGTATGCAAAGATCTTTACACTTAAATGGTACTTTACCTGTGTCTCAGGAATAATAGGGCTGTCTTCGGGGGAGATCCTGAACAAGGTAGATAAAGGTGATGACACAATTACGGGATTTGGTTTCACAAACCCACTCAGATCACAGCTAGGAATGTCATTCTCCTCCTTCTTCATGACAAGGGTGTCCATGACATAGAAGACGTTCCAGGGAATCCAGACTGTATGGTACTGAGTAAGGAATGGTGATCGTTCAAACACTAAAGTTAATGATGCACCACCATTTGCCACCAAGTCAAACCTAGGTAAACCAGATAATTATTTAGTAATACATCTTAAATTTATAGCTTTCCAACTGATATATACAATTAAGATTTAATGATAATAACTCCTTTAAGTTAAGCACAACTCTTTGTGACTTCAGGAACATATTTATGTAGTTTTCTTAGCACTGGTACGATACTTGATGCAAACCAGGTTTTTTTGCTCCCCAATGTAGCTGATAAATTTGATACCTCCTGGTGGTCATTTATCAAAGTCCAACCAGTTTCAACCTTATGATAGTTAGCTATCCTACAACCTATTGGTGCAATGATTCTAATATATAGGTAGAAGAATGAAAACTGCCATATTTCAAGTGCATGAAAAAAACTTACATTCCATCTTGACGAGTGATTGTATAACCAAAGTCTGGATAATGTAAAAAGGAGACATTAACTCCAATTAGTGGTGTTCCATCTGCTGTTAATACTTGACCCCTTATAACAGATGCAAGACTGTGGAGAAAGGCACAAATTTAGATCATTCAGAAATCTTACAAATTAGACTTTGTCCAACAATAAACATTAAATTATATTAGTTTCACAGCATTATATGCAATTTAATTTCAACTTCATTTCGAATTCTTATTTACTTATAGTGACTCTTTTTGTTACACTTTAATATATGTGAACATGCAATATCTGAATACCAAAAAGTTGCATCAAGTAAATACAGCTGTGCCCACTATATTTTGTTGCTAAAGGTCCTTTTCAGATCCAGTATATTTCTTTCTATGAAAATGTTATTGACTATGTAGTAATTTATAATGCAATCCTATGTATGATTACTACATTTAATTTATTGAATTTGAAATGTTAATTCCATGTTGAATGTATTTAGAATTTGAGCTTTAGCATTTTCAACTGTGGCATCTTCCTTTCTAACTGCAAGGTACAATCATTTGTTAGATTTCATTCAATCAGAAAATCAACACCTCAAAATCATAGCCAATAGGAAAAGTTCAAGAAGCAATGCACCCTACATAAATGACATGATTTTTTTCATTCTTCAAATACTACTGAGCTATTAAATAAAAATGTTACTAATTCTATAAATTTCAATTTGTGGTACATATGGACATACGTATGCATGCATTTTTTTTCAATTTATATAATATGCTACAACAAGAGAACACTATTGTAAATGTCTACTACTGTGTACAATTCCCTGATTTCAAATAGAAGGCTTTCTGAATTGCAACTAAAGCATTCTGAGTCATTGGATAAAATGAATAAATTAGTAATATGTTTTAAAATCAGGACCTAACTTTTGCACTTTTCCAAAGAAAAGTGTTTTGCTAGTTTGTTTTTAGACAAGCTCTTTAGGCAAGAAATTTTGCATCTTTGGAAGATGCAAAATACAGAATTTATGTGAGCAGTGCTAACTCAAATCAGTTGGGTGAGTAAGATTTGCAGAACCCTAATGTCCTACTAGAACATAGACACCCCAAACAAGAAAAGGTGTGTAAACGGACTGAAGCTTTATATATAATAGCCACAAAGTTCAACTTCAAAGTTTGAAGGTTTCCAACTATCCTGGGGAAAAAAAATAGAGCATCAGTAATGTAAAAAAGGTCCTTAAGACATTACTTTTTATTTAATACAGCAATGATACAGTCACCTCTTATTGAACGGGCTTTCCCCAGGAATAACATGCGTGCTTTCTGGTCCTATAAGAAAACTGATCCGATCATAAAAGGATTTAGCAGCTTGCTGAGATGGTGATTGCTGACTTTGGCTAATAATATCTTGTGGGTCAGGCAATCCTCGACAGTAAGGCTGGTTTTGGCAGGAACTCTGCAAACAGCAGTCAGGATCCATGCAGTCAACTAATCCATCTACAGACAAAAAAGTCAAAAGAAAAACAACAATACTTATTAGTATTTTTTTTTCTAATGAGCAATTACATGATTGCTGTATTGTATGTAATATGAAATAAAATTAGAAGTTTAGTTTCTTAAAAAGAGTAGAGAGCTCGGATTAGGTAAAGAATTTATCACTTCCTCTAGTGATCCTAGAAAAAGAGATGTGGAGTCTCTGTTTCACAAAGAAAAGACTGGAAAAACACCAGGCCCAGTCAGAGTAATTCCTTCTTTCTTGAAAGTCTGTGCTAATCAACTGGCCCTCATCTTCACCCGCATCTTTAATAAACTAAAATAACTAAATAAAATAAAAATAAATGGAGATGTGTTATGCCCCTTCTTGCTTCAAATGCTCTACTATCATCCTGCTGGCCAAGAAGCCCTTCATCAAGGAGCTGAATGACTACAGATTGGTTGCTCTGGCATCAATAGTTATGAAAACTTTTGAAAGGATTAGTGTTGGCCCACCTGAAAATCATTATGTATCCACTGCTAGACTCCTTGCAATTTGCCTACTGTGCAAAGAGATTGGTGGATGATGCTGTCAACATTGCCCTGCACTACATCTTGAATTCTCAAGGACCTATGCACGGGTCCTTTTTGTAGACTTCAGCTTGGCATTCAATACCATCATGAACCAGAAAGAGGGCTGACAAAATATTTACAAACCCGTCATATCATGGACTGTTTCAATTCCTCCTCTCAAGATTACCGCTATAGGGCACTGCATGCAAAATAACTACACACGGCGGCAGTTTTCTCCCTTGTGCCATCACTGTACTGAACACCTAATTTGCACAGCATTGTGTTATGTCAAAAGATATTTACCCATGTGGTAGGGCTGTATAACTATTATCCTTCTCATCTTTCCTATTATCTTCTACTATTGGTATTTTAGGATTATGTTACTTTGTGTGGCCAATCACATTTGGCCAATGAAGAATATTCTATTCCATTCCATTCCATTCTTATTTCACTCCACTCCACTCCACTCCACTCCACTCCACTCCATTCCATTCCTGTACTAAACAAGTACAAGTAATTGGGAAGTAATGTTGCAACTCTTTCTCCTTCCTTCCCCCCTCTCTCTGTGTTTATGTGTGCTCTCTATATGTTCATGTGCATGTGTATGTGCGCGCACACCCACACACACATATTAAATAAGCTAAAATCCCTAAACAGAATTATAACCTTCTCCAGAAATTTCGATTGTTAGTAAAAATCCACCTTAGTGGCAACAGTTCACTGGCAATTCTTGCTCTGAGATGCTCTCAAAGAAACAATCACATTTCTGATTGGATGAATGAAACACAGGCAAACTAAGAACATAAGAAATACCTGCACCTCTCGCTATTCATAGAATGTGTGTGTGTGTGTGGTGTGCGCGCGCACACACACACTCTCTCTCTTTCTGCCATTCAATCCTGTCCAATTGTTTGTGACTTCCTGACAATTCCCTGCAGTTTTCTTATCCAGGTTTTACAAAAGAAATTTGACACTGTCTCCATCAGAGGACTGAGAGAAAGGGAGTAGCCCAGGGTCACCCAGGTGGCTTGGTATCCAACGTGGGACTAGAACTCATAGTCTCCTGGCTTCTAGCCTGGTGCCTTAATTACTACACCATAGTTCTCTATGTTAATATATACAGCATCAATATTTAATAAGATGCAGAAGCCTTTTCAGACACACCACTACTGGAAGAATTTAGATTATGTCATATAAGGAAGAAGGGAAATACATGTTATTAATAATATACTCTTTCTTGAACCACATATCACTGAAGAAACAAATTTTACATTAGGAATTCGGAACAATACATGAAGATCTCTACAGGGAATATGACTCAAGAGCCACACAGATTCTTCTGAAGAAGAATGTACAAATGTTTCTGAGGAGAGAATGCTGAAGTATTTTTTAAGAGAGTAAGTCATATACTGTAGCAAAACAATGACTTCAAAATAATTCAGTATATGTTTTTAAGATTTATTTATTTATTATTTATTTATTAATTCAATTTATATGCCGCCTTTCTCCAGAGACTCAGGGCGGCATATATTTCATAATAACCAAATAAAGAGCAGAGATCATTACAGAATGAATGACATTTAAAAAAAAAAAACTCTTGAGCAATGTCACCATCTATTTATTAAAGGTGGACAGCAGTCAAGATTTCTTCAAAATCCAGTTATATGATTAAATAAAAATATTGATATTTAAAAACAAAGAAAGCTCTCATATATTGAATCAAAGTTGAATTGACCTAGTCCAGTCATGTCTACGCTGATGGGAAAGAGCTCCTCAGAGGTTTAGAAAAGGGCATCTTTCTCCACTGTATCAATTAACCCAAGATTTAATTCCTGTATGCAAGTTATGTGCTCCATCAGCAAAGTATGTCTCAAATCCCAAATGTATATTTAGAAATATTGGCAAAATTTTATCTTAAAGTATGAGCTGTGTGACTAAACCTCTCCATATTACTAGAAAAAAAGATTTTTGGTATTTAAAAGAGATGTGACTATGCTACATAAGTAATATGACCATAATTTGTTGAGAACGATTTAAAATGTCCAGAACACTGATGGATATTTAGTAATTGGCATGAAATTTGATGGACAATTAGTAGCTGGCATGTAGCCCTCAAATCCATTTTTCTTTTTCTTTCTTTCTTTCTTTCTTTCTTTCTTTCTTTCTTTCTTTCTTTCTTTTTAAATAGTATGCAATTTTTTAGAACAAGAATTTTTCAGTATAACATTTTCAAGATACATTTTTCTGCTAATTTTCAGCAAGAATAAGATAAAAGCAATGAATGCTATTGCATTAGCTTAATACACTGAAATATTTATGAAACACAATGTTCAAAACCCACAAAAATTCCTGCCATAAAACCACAATCTTGCCCAATTGTGTGATGTTATTGCTTTTCTTGTTATGGCCTTTAGTCATCAAAACCTTATCCTTAAATATTCAGCCAGTGGCTAAAGACATTTACTACTCAAGATTAAAAATGTAGCAGAACCTGCTTTTTAAAGTTCCTAGGTATTAACTAAGTTAAATGGCAACAATGAAAACATGCTAAATTAACCTGCTCTTAAAGACATTATGTAAAAGATCAATTGTAGTGTTGCTGTGTTCATTCATAATGCTAAAAATAATATTTTAATCAGCTTTTTGAATAAACTGAAATAGCTTAATTTACACAACCCTGTAACAGGTGTTTTCACAGAAGTAACTCCCCACTATCACTTTATGACTTAAAATTCATTGTGAAGCACTATGAAAATATCTACATTTCTCTATTTGTTTCAAGCAGCTTGTTAAAACCCCCAAATTGCATTTGATTTAGTTTCTTATGTTAAAAAAATAGTCTGGATGATATTTTTTATTTTCAATGAAAAACATAGAGTGCATGATGATTTGGAAAAAAAACCCACTTCTGAAACTGCAATCTCAGTTCTTAAAAATAATGACAAGTGAGAACAAAAAGTTTCTCCTTACATTTAAAAGGATACTTATCTGAGAACAAGAAAGCTAGCTCTATAAAATTTAACCACACGATTAATAATACATGCAAATTATTACATGCCTATTGATATATCCCTAAAAATGAATCAGATGTACCCAGATAAAAAGACTGATGGACTCAGTTACAGTGCTAATGTGTGTACTGTTGAAAGCCTGAAGAACCAGATTAGGGACAGATTGTCATCTGTCAATATATGTATATGATTACTAAGAGATGACATCACTTGGATAGCATGTAATCAATCAATCGATCAGGTACAGTATACTTTATATTCAGTAAATTATCATTTATATACTTCAATTTGAACCTCCATCTATACGAAATCTTTAAACTTATTTTTTTAAGACTGAAAATATAATACTGTTTTTAAAAGATGCACTGCAATGTAATGTTGATAACATTAACTCCACGGGAGATTTGACCAGAAGCATTGCGGCGAGACAGTTGGGGATTAGCAGACTCTGATGAGCCTTGTGAAATCCCGGGCAGACGAACCGCTGCCGAGGGGTCTTCAGACCAGACCCCCTCCTGTAGGGAAGAAGGAGAGGCACCTTGGGAGACCAAGAGGAACAGGTAAGTTCCTCGGAGGTCAGAGGAAACTCTCCCTGACTTGGCAGCGGGGGGCGGCGGCCATTGCGACCACCAGTAAGCTGGGGCAACCAGACTAAGCATTATGCAGGAGCGGCAAATTGAGCAGAACAGTGATGCCGGGTGAGTGACACCTGGCTCATAGGCAGAAAAAAAAAGAGGACTTTTAAATTAGTTATAATTGTCCCAGCAGAATAACAGTGGCTAATGGGCGTGGGGGAAAGTCTAGAAGAAGATTAAAGTGGAAGCTGTAAAGTGACAAAACCCGATCAGAAAATTGTGGGTTTTTTTGGATTAAAGTACTTGGTGAACTTTAAAAAATTAGAAGAATCAAGAACCCCAAAAGAAATTGAAAAGATCAATTTCAAAAGGAAAAGATCAAAAGGAAAAAAGGGGTGGAATAGAAATAATAAAAACAATTACACTGGGAATGTACATGAATGATTACACTGGGATTAATAATGAAAGAACAAAAAAGAGAAAGGGATAGAGAATAATGGGAAATACAGGGCACAAGATAAGAGTGCAGGAATATAAAATGCAAATAAAAAGATGGGAGAAGAAAAAGGAAAAAAAATGGAAAAAAGGGAAAAAGAAAGATATAAACATGGTGTAGGCACTTAGAATTAAAATGAATTGATGTAAAAGTTATAGAAATAAATGAATGTCAGAAAAGGTAGCAATTGAGATTATGATTTATTTAGAAATAAGAATAAGTTGTGATGGAGTATCTATGAAATTGTGAATTAAAAAATGAATTGCTAAGTAATTGTAATTAGGGAAATTATAACAATTGGAATACTTTTAAGATAAGAGATAAGAATATAAATATTCGATGAAGTAATTAAAAATTGAATTTAAGATC